TTAGTTTCACCAAATATCATTTTCTCCCATACATTCAATGTTTGAGACGATTGATCTGCTAATCCCACCATATAATGTAAGCCGCAAAAGAAGTTGTTCATACTAACTGCCCTTTCCTTCTGAATTTCACTGTACCCATCCCACCCATTGTCAACCTTAGGCAGCACCTCCCTTTTATACTGTTGTAAGAGTTCATTGAATTTTTTTTGAGCAATATGCCTATCACTGATAGTGTTTTTCATCTTTTGAAGAATTTTGTTCATCTTCTGGGGCCCTTCATCGTCTAAAACATTACACATATCCTCTAGTACTTCCTTCATTAAACCTAAAGTTTCTTCGGCGGTACCCCCCACACTTTCTCTTACCCCCATGACATAGCAGTCACCATCTTGTGTGTGAATATCAAAAGCCCCATAATGATGACCCCCCTTTGTTGTGCCATCCCCCCCTATTGTCAGATTTGACTGGTCTTCATTCATCAGCGTATCTAATACTTGAATTTGACTAAGAACTCTGGCTTCTTGAAACATATCTGCTGCAAAGTCCTTTTTTGGTAATTTCCCCACCTCTGCTTTTGTCAAACCCTCGATTATTGACCTTACCACCCCTTCACAGTTCCTTGAACTGACTCCAAATTTGCACTCTAACTCTTGGTATACCTGTCTAACCTCATCTGTGTACTTGCCTTTTTCGATTGACTGAATGACAATCTCCGATAGCGGACTCGCTAATTTGCCTAACTTAACTGTCATTTTCTTCAATTTTCGTTTGAGAGATTTATTTTCTTGGATAGTTTTCGAAAGCAAGTCGTTTCTTTTCTTTAGATAATTCAAGCGTACTTGACTTTTCTTCCACATTACTTTCATCGCCCCTTTTTGTTGTTTTAACTTTCTGAACTGCTTTGTTTGTTCTTCAAGAAGCGAAATTTTCATTTTTCTTGAGAGCAACTCTGTTTGCATTTTTTTTACTGCCTTTGTTTGATTATCAAGTGCCCTTTTCCTACCTTCATCTTTTATCTTAAATCGTCGCCTTTGTACTTCCGATTTTGCTAAACTTAATTTGTAGTCGTTAAGTTTCTTTTCTACGCCGGTCAACCTTACTCTCATTTTCCTTAACCTCGTTTTGAGTATTATACATTCCTTTCGAAATCTACATTTACAATTGGATTTTTCTTGACTTCTACTAACCCTCTCGCGAACTGGCCTCGAACCCCCTTTCCCGCGCTTTCCCTTCCCACCACTTTGCCTCTTCTTCCCACCATCCGGCTTTCTTCTCCCCCCAACCCCACTTGCCTGATTACCACTTACGGGCAAAATTACAAACACCTCGTTCAAGAATTTGTCTAAGTCTCTTTCATTCAATCCAGAGCTCCTTTGTTCAGTTACCTTTCGTATTTTGTTGTGCAGCCTATGTGTACTTACACTACCAACACTATCATCAACCTCAAACAGCGCACGCAACAACTGTTTGAAACTTTCGGTGGAAAGATCATTTTTCCTACCCCACGCATAGAGTTCTAAAACCACACCATTCGTCATCCACGCCCATCCCATCCTCTCACGGTCATACTCGTTACACAACGCAGCTTGAACATCACCCTCCAATACCCCAATCTTTGAACAGTTTGGTCCCAACCCCGACACTAGTTTATGCAATTCTTGTACAACTTCATCCCCCCTCCCTTTCTTCAAGCTGTACGTTGTCTTCCTCCTAAGATTACCAAAGTGTATAGAAATGACATTGATATGGTTCTTGGAAACTGTTTTAGAATATGCCAAGAGGCACTCCCTTTGTGTGCCGTTGCACTCAGTACTAGATTCTTGCCAGACGTCGAAATGTGAGAAAAAAATAGAAAGGTCCTGAAATGTCATGTATTCTTTCTTTATTGGAGGAGACTGAAAACAATTCAAAAAGTTACTTACGGCTTCAGGGTTCATGATGCTGGCTGGGGCTGGCTGTCAGATGAAAAGCTAGTTGAATCCAGGTAAAAACAGAGTAAAAACGTCAATTGCAAACCAATTCAGAGCTGGAGTCGAGTAGAGTCGTAAATCGAGTAGATTTCGATAATGCTCGTAATTACGTATGCAGCGCATACGCGCTGCACTAGATGGCCCTTTAAATTACCCGCCTTTTAAATTAATTACCCGCCTTCAATAATGTCACGTGAACAAGGGGCTCGTTCCTAACGACGCCCGTTGCAAATTGATGAATGTAAATTAACCATTAGCGACATATACATTTCAGGCAGTGGGGACAAGTACAATGCGAATTGCCCGCCTTCAACAATGTCACGTGAACAAGGGGCTCGTTCCCAGCGACGCCCGTTGCAAATTGATGAATGCATATTAACCATTAGCGACATATACATTTCAGGCAATGGGGATAATGCGAAGATGCACTCTCTTAGTGCACACTAAATACATCACGCCAGCACAGACAGATCCGAATACACACACAAGTAGTACACACACGGTACGGGCAAGCGCATCACAGACAGATTGACCAATCAGATTGCAGGGATTCTTCTACCCATCTTATAATAGGCCTACACATATTCAACGCTGCGTACGCGTCATAGTGTGTACAAAGGCTTGCGACACGGGTAGCACGCACAAAATTTGCTAAGCGCCGCTGAACGTTGCGTGATCTAAATGCATATGCATCAGCGGATTTTAAGCGCTGTCACCATGGATTTGGGCTGAGCAGAGTCACGCCTCCCTAATTAGCTGATCCGAAAAATGTGGAGAAGGGTATTTTCAAACTGTTGTCAGTTGTGATCCCTGGGGGCTAGCGAAAAAAAAAGCACATACATAATTCCTTAGGACTGGGACTACTTATCGATCGGGGCGTCATATCTCAAAAGTGACAAACCTCGGAGTTAGCCAGGACACAATGTTTAAATCGCTGTTTTGACCAAGATATTTTTAGAATTTCGAGGCAACGCCCTGTGGAAATATTGGAATTCACCTGCTCTTTCATATGACACCTCATTTATCGAGTATCACCTTCAGGATCACAACAGATAAAGGTTTGAAGTTCGAATTGAAAAAAAAAACTTGACTTTTTTTGCATGATCGCGTAATGCACGTAGACCGCATAGGGATGCGTGCAATCTCTATGGGAAGAATTTTAGCACACAACATCGGGTGCGCGATCAGACACCCTAATCTAGGTCTAGCCAGTGGCGTAACGCCTAACGGTAGACTCTAGTCTAGACCTAGGGCCCGTAGGATTTTTTAAAGGGGGGGGGGGGGTTTAAAATCGGTCCAAAATTTCGCAACGACTCAGCCAGCCGCTGAAAGGGAGGGAGGGAGGGGGGGGGGGGGGTAAGCGGACACCTTTTTTTTTGGGGGGGGGGGGGGTCTCGAAATTTGAAAATTTGACATTTTGTTCCGTTTGGGGGGGGGTAAGGTCACCTTTTTTTAGGTCAGCCATTGGCATAATTAAAAAAAAAAAATTATTAAAAAAAACAAACTCGAAAGGGTGGGGGGTTTCCAAAAAAAACATAGACTAGAAAAATCTAGTCTAGATCTAGAGTCTAGATCTATACAAAACATACACATAAAAAAAAAACTCAAGGGGAGGGGGGTTTTACCCCAACACCCCCCCCCCCCCTCCCTGTGGGAAAGAGAAGGAAAGAAAGGAAAGAGAAGGAATAAAGAATGAAAAAAAGAAAAAGGGGAAGGAGAGGAAAGAAAGAAAAGAAAAAGAGAAAAGGAACAAAAGAAGAGAAAAAGGTAACAAAAGAAATGGGAGATGAAAGAGGGAGAGGGAGAGGGGGGGGGGGGGGTAAGAGCCTGTGAGAAGAAGGGTGGGATATTGGGTGGAGTTACCACGTCGAGGGGGCAAGAAAGGTACGCATTGATAATTATGTTGCTGTGTCGGTATTCTTGCTCGATTTTCGTATATTATGCTAGTATATTAATGCAGAAGTTTGAAGTCGGTAAGATGTATTAACTATTATGTCGATCGGTCGGCAAACTGTTTTCCCTACGAATTTTGACTTTTTATCGGACAAAGAAACATTTTTGAAAACTTAGAGTTAGACAATAATTATAAAGAGTCGGTACAACGAATCGTCTTCTTTCTCTAATAATTTAATGAAATGTCAAAGCTTTTGCACTTTGCGCGAGAGGGGGAAACTGAATTCAGACAAGGATTAAGAGTCGAAAGCAGTACAACGAATCGTCTCCTTTCTCTAATAATCTAATGAAACGTCAGAGCTTCCGCGCTTAATGCGGGAGTGGGAAAACTAAATTAAGACAAGGATTAAGAGTAGAGAACGTTACAACGAATCGTCTTCTTTCTCTAAAGATGTAATGAAACGTCATAGCTACCGCGCTTTGCGCTGGAGGGGGAAACTGAATTCAGACAAGGATTAAGAGTAGACTAGAGAACGGTACAACGAATCGTCTTCTTTCTCCAATAATTGAATGAAACGGCAAAGCTTCCGCGAAGCGGGAGGTGTAGATTCTAGAGACTTTTTCTTTTTAAAGCTTCCCCAACCCCTGACCTGAAAAGCGAATTTTTGTTTTTAAATTAAGAAATAGACTACATATTCATGTAGACAGGTCTATATCATATGTGTTTGAAACTTTATTTTAAATTAAGGATTTGGAAATTAGATAGACCACATGGTCTTTTAAGGAGTGGAAGGGCTGAAGGATCACACAGGAAAAGCCCCCCTTATGACTCTGAGTTTTGTTCTCATTTCTATAAAAATAAGAAGGAGAAGAATGATTTAGGGCCCCTCAATTAGAAAACCTTTCTAAATATTTTACCTTGTTCCCCCTTCAATTTAAAAGTCTGTCGAGCAGTCTCTATACCCTTTGTTGGCATATATTATTAGACAAACCCCCATCCCCCCCCCCCCCGTGCGTTGGTGAGTACATTTACATTTAGATGATTGTTTAGATGTTTCATTTCTCCTTTAAAAAAAAAAAATCTTTTCCTTCTGACCTTCACACTAATGAATATCGTTCCTCCTTTTTATCCAACAGCGCGAATGTATCTCTATCCACGTCGGCCAAGCCGGAGTCCAGATCGGTAATGCCTGCTGGGAGTTGTACTGCCTTGAGCACGGCATTCAGCCTGATGGCCAAATGCCGTCAGACAAGACCATCGGAGGTGGTGACGACTCCTTCAACACCTTCTTCAGTGAGACGGGAGCTGGCAAGCATGTCCCCCGTGCTGTCTTCGTAGACTTGGAGCCCACTGTCGTTGGTAAGTTTGATTTCTTTTCATTGCAAAGGACTATAAAGTGATGGTAAAAACTTTTTACGAATCTGAAGTTTACACACCTAGTTCTCTCATCTTCCTCGTTCAACTACATATCTGACCAAGCGATTACAATTTTCAAATGCATTCATGAATGAGCAGACGTGTTACTTTTTCTTTCCTCACACCACACATTGCTTTTATTAAAGTAAAAGAGAAACGTAGCCCTACAGTGAAGCACCAATTAATAAATGTACCGGTATGTCAATTAATGAAATGCCATCCAAATCAGTATGCATAATACAATTAACTTTTTTAAATGTCAATACTGCCATCTCTTTTACTCTGGATGTAAACATATTTGAGCCTAGTATTGTAATAAATCTAATCACCAATGTATTGTCATCTTTAAAGAACTGCATCACAAAATAATTGATGGATCACTTTGTTTTACAACAGATGAGGTCCGAACTGGAACATACAGGCAGCTCTTCCACCCTGAGCAGCTGATCACTGGCAAGGAGGATGCCGCCAACAACTATGCCCGAGGTCACTACACCATTGGCAAGGAGATAGTCGACCTTGTCTTGGACAGAATCAGGAAACTGGTAAGTTCTAGGGTGAAACTTTGTTTTTATTGTTGACGCTTTAAAGATACATCAGACTTCAAGTGTGTTTGTGTATATAGGGGGGGGGTGTTGCATATGTTTGAAGAGAACAAAGAAAAATGAAGATGATTTGAAACACTGGAAAGCTAAATAAACATTTCTAATTCCATTGTTCAACGTGAATAAATTACCGGTATCTGATTTCTACTACAGTTATACTATTTCAAATTAGTTTAATATGTCTTGTGTTTTACTTTTGTCTTCTTCATTTTAGGCTGATCAATGCACAGGTCTTCAAGGATTCCTCATTTTCCACAGCTTTGGAGGTGGCACCGGCTCTGGATTTGCATCACTCCTTATGGAGCGTCTGTCTGTTGACTATGGTAAGAAGTCCAAGCTTGAGTTCGCCATTTACCCAGCTCCCCAGATCTCCACCGCCGTAGTCGAACCCTACAACACAATCCTCACCACCCACACAACTCTGGAGCATTCTGACTGTGCCTTCATGGTCGATAACGAAGCTATCTATGACATTTGCCGACGCAACCTTGACATCGAGCGACCAACCTACACCAACCTCAATCGTCTGATAGCGCAGATCGTGTCTTCCATCACTGCCTCTCTTCGATTCGATGGTGCACTGAATGTGGATCTTACTGAGTTCCAGACCAACCTGGTACCATATCCTCGCATTCACTTCCCCTTGGCTACCTATGCACCCGTCATTTCTGCAGAGAAGGCCTACCATGAGCAGTTGAGCGTAGCAGAAATCACCAATGCCTGCTTTGAGCCAGCCAACCAAATGGTCAAGTGTGACCCACGCCATGGCAAGTACATGGCATGCTGCATGCTCTACCGTGGAGACGTCGTCCCCAAGGATGTCAACGCTGCCATTGCAACGATCAAGACCAAGCGCACTATCCAGTTCGTAGACTGGTGTCCAACTGGCTTCAAGGTCGGTATCAACTACCAGCCACCCACTGTCGTCCCTGGTGGTGATCTTGCCAAGGTTCAGCGTGCCGTCTGCATGTTGAGCAACACGACCGCCATCGCCGAGGCTTGGGCTCGTCTTGACCACAAGTTCGATCTGATGTATGCCAAGCGTGCCTTCGTCCACTGGTACGTCGGAGAGGGTATGGAAGAAGGAGAGTTCTCTGAGGCCCGTGAGGATCTGGCAGCTCTGGAGAAAGATTACGAAGAAGTAGGTGTTGACTCCGTTGAAGGAGAAGCAGAGGAGGAAGGAGAGGAATACTAAACGACTCGGCTCAACCTTAACAACCCCGGGACTTTTTGCGTTAATGTTAAATACACTTTGTAGTTCAAAAGCTTGATTCGATAAACACTGAATAAGAACAAATGCTCTAATGGATTGATTTGACATGAAATGCGTAATGAATTCAGTAAAGAGTGACATCCACATTTTGATAGGTTTTCTTCAGAAGTAACAGTTTGGAGTTTTTCTTGATCACTTTAAAAATGAAATTATTGAAGAAGAAAAATAATAAAAGTTTGGAACATGATGATTTTTAGATTTATTATTTAAAGGAGAAAATAAATGTCCTTTTAAAACGATCTTAGTGTTTGTGGTTTCATTATTGACGTTAATTTAATAATAATAATAATAAACAACATTTGTATAGCGCTTATCACAAAATATGTCTCTAAGCGCTTAAGAAAAATAGAAAGAGAAGGAATTACAGCCAAATATTAAGTTATACATAATAGATAGTGGACAATCGAGGGGGCTGCATATGCAAATGAAAAAGCCTATTTAACAAAAAAGTAGGTTTTTAACATGGATTTGAATTTGTCTGTTGAATCTGCTTGTTTTATACGTTGAGGTAAATTGTTCCAGATGATTTGATGAGTATATGTTTTTGAAATAGTGGAGTATGAATATGAAATGATGATCACGGTACTTGAATATGAGAACTGAAAGAGTGAAGTGGTACAAAGTAGTTTGAAAATGAAATTAAGAGATTGAAATAAAAAGGGAAACTAACATAAAGGATTTATATATAATATATATGAGCCTCATCCTATAAAGACTTACGAATGATTCAAATTGATTCCAATTCCATATCAATCGCAACTGTGAAGTAATTTTTTGGTTGACTGGAGGTAATCAACTCAGAACAATTGCAATTCTGTACAAGACAAGGCTCTGGGAACGTACGAAATATCCTTCTTCCTCGCATAATCTCAAGAGTAAAAGGGGGCGTATTCTGAAAACTTGTATTTCATGCAAAGGACAACAATGTTAATCGTCATCGACACTAATCATTGGTGCTTTTGCAGATGGCCCTTTAATTATATGCAATTAATTAAATTAAAGAAAAAACATTAATTAAATTCAAAAAATTCTTGAACTCTTTTACAAAAGATAACATCGTTTTCTGAACGTTAGCAACAATATCGGTTTACTATTTCGTTTTTATTTCACTTAAAGGGCGATTCCGACAAACTTGCCAGCTGAATTGAATACAGAAAAATTAAACAAACAAAACATTGAAAGTTTCATCAAAATCGGAAGGTACTCTTCCCCCCCCCCCCCCCCCCAAAAAAAAAAACAGTTCGCCACATAGGCTGTATGCAAATAAGCGAGTCGATGATGCTCCTCACTTTTCCCCATATTTTTTTTTTGGAAAATTTCAATTTTTGTTTTTGTTTTAACACAACTGTATATTATGTATTCACAAATAGAATTGGCACATGCGCGACTAGTATCTTCCGCCATGCGGGTTCCAGTTCTTTCTCAATCAATCTCTTTTCACCTATCTGATATGCATGATGTCATAATGATCTGCCGCCTACATCAAGTCTGACACCATCCCGATTCTTGGTCTACCTCTTCCACGTTTACTATTTATCTTCCCTTCTAAGATGTCTCTAAGCATGTTATCATCCATTAAGATGTGTTCCATCCAGTTTTCTTCTGGTGCCTTCAGATTGTTTGTTTCTCAAGTTCCTTTTCTCATTTACTCTAACCAGTACCTTTTCATTGGTGATTCTGTATTTTTTCATTGATGCTCATGTCCCTCCGTCTAATGTATTCCATTCTCCTCCACAGCCACGTTTACAAAATGCCAATTTAGCCCTTTGCTGCAGTACCCTACTGCACTTAGATAATGCACTCTTGGCTAGTGCTGTGCGAATTTGGATCTTTTGGGTGTTGTATCCATCACTAGAGTTAACATTACCATTTCTACCAAGGCACGTAAACAATAATATTTTTCAACCTGTTCAACTTTCTTTACACCGATTGTGACATTTATATCTTGACCCCCCCCCCCCCCTCAGGGGTTGCGGAACGTCTTCCAAAATGAGAGAGGGGCACCTTCTGAAGAAAGAAAAAAGAAATATGAACAAACAATGATTGCAATTATCGCAATGATCAATGTTCATTCATTACCAAAATGTCATTCAACTTGTTGCTATCGAAGAAATCGATTTTTTTTTCTTTCACTTTTTGATGATTTATTGTGTTTAAGTAAATCTAAAGAGTTCCTCACCTGATCCAGTGGTAAGCCTAACACCGGAAGTATTAATAATTTTCACAGATTTCTGACAGATAGCTAGCTTCGCGTGTTCGTAGAGGCAAATGTTGTTGGTTGCAAATATTTCAACTTCGTCCACTCGCACTCGCGGAGTCCTAGTGGACGCGCATGCGCATTCATAGGGCCAAGCAAAGGGCTTACTAAGTGACGTAATAATTGAACTTTTGGCCAATGAGAGTACGTATTATCCTTTATGTTGCATATTCATGAGGGTTATGCACTTTGAAAATTATTGAAGTTACAAAGAGAGTGGACAAGAACTATGCGGCCGACTTCGACTGTGCATGGAGCTGATCGAGTTAACATTCCGCAACCAATGAGGATCTGGGGGGAGGGGGGTGCCCTCCCGTGGCCAAAAAAGCAGGTAAATTTAATTTAATTTAATTAATTTCTTACCAGCCCCCCCTCCCCTCTTTTCATTTCGAGCAGAGTAAATGGGTATGTTATTAACATGCGGTTTACATGGTGTGAGTAGTTTAACGTTTACCCACACATCGTGGGTCCGAACAGGTTGGTTTTCCGGACAGTTGATTCAAACAAGTAATTTGAAGAAGTTTACATGCAATACCTAGGGGCGGCGGAGCGACTCCAAAGAGGGGGGAGGGCCGGGTACAAACAAAAAAGGGCCCTTTCTGTAGAAAATAAAAGGTACCTGTAAAGGGAAATCTCAAGGCGAAAATATACAATTTTTTAGACATTGGTATATACCCCTACACAGTGGCGTAGACAGGTTCGTACACCTGGGGGGATGACTCAGGGGCGGATCTAGCTTTTTGCTAAGGGGGGGGGGGGTTGACCAATAATGACGATGCAGAGCATCGTCCACGAGCCGCGAAGCGGCGAGCCGATTTTTTTTTTTGGTATTTATTTGAACCCCGTAAGTGATGTTTTCCTGGCATTCCTGGCTATTAACACAATAATGACCATAAAAAGCAGTACATGATAACGTCTTTTTAAATCAAGTAACAGTTAAATACACAGTTATATCCAGAGTTGTCATGTGTTTGGTTAAGTTACCAGATGAGTTGAATATCTTCTCACAATATTTGCACTTGAAAGGGTTTCTCTCCAGCGTGCGTTCTTTTTTCTTTCTTTTTTTCTTCTTTTTCCCCCTTTTTTTGTTTGTTTGTTTTTTGGGCCGCCCAAGGGGGGGGGGGGGGGTTAAACCCCCTAACCACCCCCCCCCCCGTAGATCCGCGCCTGTTTAATCTTGTGGTTATCTTGTGGTTTCCAAACCACAAGATAACCACAAAATACTTGTAAGATTTTCTTTTTTTTTACCGTCTGAATTGGCTTTCACCGTGTGAATGCGGCTAATAACAATAAACACAATTACAATAATGATGAGGATTATTATTATCATCATCATAATTATTATTATTATTAATATTATAATTGTTATCATTATTATTATTATTACTATTATTATCATCATTATGACTTATTAAGTAAGCAAATATCATTCCCCCAAACCTGGGGGGGGGGGGGATGATTGTACATGCCATCCCCCTCATCCCCCCGTTGTCTACGCCCCTGCCCCTACATTGTGATTACATTCTCAGGGAGGATTTCCATATTTGATTCTCTTATACATCATACACGATATATTTGCAATCGGGTATAATCATGGTCTGAATATGCATTTGCGAGCGAGCGAAGATTTATGAGGTCGCAGTGCGAAAATTTACATCTTATAAAGAGGGGGAAAACAATCCTGATAGGGGTGTAAGCACATTTTCTTGTGAAAGAGGATGTCTTTTAAAACACTTTTTTTTAAAAATGTGTTTGAAGTCGAAATTTGATGAAAGAATACAAAATTAAGGTTTTCTGCGTTCAACAGAGACACATTTTTTTTAAGGGAAATATTTACAGAAGTGTGTCTTGAATAAACACTCTTTCACATTATGATACAATTTAAGTGAATTTTTGCCGTCAAATTTTCGGCGAACTGTGGAGGGGCTAATATCACGTGCGTGATCGTCAGTCGGGATGCTTGAGTGAGAGTAGACAAAATTATCATACCTCCCTTTTCAAGTTTATTTCTCAAGCTCCCATCTAATGATACATTATATTCTGTGAACTCGTTGCTTTTTCATTTCTACTTCTAAATAATGCTTAGATATGAACTAGATAAAGTACAACACTTGTGCAAACTATGTCTGGAGATGAAAGTAGATTTCAACCAGTAATTTCAAGAAGTTAACATGCAATAATATGTCATAAATCTTTAATAACATATAACACCAAGGACAGAATATGTTAAAGATGGTTGGTGCAATTTGTGTCATTAAATCCTAAGGCAAAAGAAAAGGCATAATATTTGTGTATAGCGACCTGATTTCCTCCCCCCCCCCCCCACTCAGTGTTATATAGGGTACGCGTATGCATGTTCCCTCCTTTTGAAAACGCCCCCCTAAGTCCGGTGTGTAAAGTCAATACGGGCCGGATTTTGTGTACTACGAGCCGGACTTTGGTGCGTGAAAAGTACCCCTTTACCGGACATTTTGGGAACACGCATGCGGTCCCTCCGACCCCGGAGTGGGGGGGGGGGGGGGGGGGGGCGGGGGTCCCTCCCTTCTCTCTTAACTGAAATCTGGCACGCATATAGCTACGTCTATTATCTTTATATTTATTGTGACGCAACAAAAGGATATTTAGTCTATAATGTCAAAATTGATGCGCTTTAGCTGCCAGCGCGCTCGTGCGCGTGCGGGAGCATTTAATTTCTAAAACGTTATTGGTTCATTTTCCTAGTGACGTATTGCCATATTTGCTAATTATTGGTTGAATTACTTTTGTTTATAACGTTTCCTAGCGCTATGATATGATGCGCGCACTTTATGGATTTTTAAAATATCGATATGATACGCGTACGGTATATATCATTCAGCTGTTGGCAAGCGTTGCGTCAAGTTTCTCGCCAATTTTCTCCAGAAAATTTACTCCAAATTTTTAGTGACGACCTGAAAATCATCAAAAATGGTGAGTGAAACTTTACTCTAGATCTAGATCTAGGCCTAGACCCAGGCCTATTTGATTTTGAATCATGAAATGAATGGATATGAGCTGAGAAATGAAAGGTTATGCGGCTGATGGTGCTTGTGCAATTGTGTTTCGGTCGTCATCAACAGTCAAGACTGTCGAGTCAACAACTGATTCATGTGTAAATTTGGTTGTGTGAGTTGTGACCATAGGCCTAGGTCTAACTTAGAAATCTAGTTCGTGCGTGACCTAAGTTCGCTTTCTCAAAAAATTGGTAAGATTTCGAAAATCGGATAGACCAGGCAATGGATCTAGATCTAGACTAGATCCAGACTAGACTAGACTTGGACTAGATCTAGATCTAGATCTAACAAGTTAGGTGCTAAAGTTAGTACTAGATCTAGATCTAGTACTAGAGT